TTTGCAAAATATAATCCAAATTAGCATTTGGCCTGAAGGATATCCTCATTCCCCATCAACCAGAATGCTGTAATTTTGCAGTATCTATCCCTGTATGTGTTTGAGGATCTACTACGTTGGGATAGCAAAGGGACGGATAATATACATTGCAAAGGGACAGAGAATATACCTTTTACACTTGACTTTGTATATGATTTTATAGAGTTGAAGGGATTCACTCCTTCATAAGAACATCTGTCTAGGGAAATTGCACAGGCCCGTTTGAAGAGCAGTAACTTGCCCTAATGGGCTGAACTGTCAGAAAACAAACTTTTAAGCTTCAAGAATCCTCAAACTACATACCTGTATTGTTAAGTAACCCTACCTTTTAGAAACTACAATTCCCAAAATCCCCAGCTGTAAGAGTTTGTTATACATCTTGATTCTCACTCTGCCTTAATACAGTACAAAAAGATAGGAGGTAATAACTAATTGCTGTTCTAGACAGGCCCTATGTCCCAGGATCTAATCCCAGGTTTTCTGCTTTAGCCTGGATTATATGAGTCCACACTGCCATATAATCTGGGATAAACAGAAAACCTGGGATCGGATCCTGGTACATAGGGCCTGTGTGGAAGGGCCTTAAGAGAGTCCCAGAAAATGGTAACAATCTCCTGCTCTGGTTGTATACGGACCAGATCTAAATCACAACAGTGCTGGTCTCGAGAAGGCAATAGGCTAGCTGCTCCTTGGAGCTCAACATCTTTGCCTTTCAAAACTACACGCACTAAGAAAGGTTGGGAATGACCGAAAACAACGACTAATAAAGATAAATTCCCCAATATAACTTTGGGCCCACATTCGAAATAGGGGACAGGTGGAGCGGAAAAGGTAGGATTCACAACTGAGAACACCACAAAACAGGCTTGGATGGTAAGTGCAAAAAAGGGGAGAGACAGAAAACATGAAACTAAACACTTTGGAAAACGAAGTGCTAGACTCTCCTTCTCTGGAGGTTAAGTAGAGGTCCAATGACCATCTATCAGGAGTGCTTTGATGGTGTATTCCTACATGGTCTCTTCCAAGTCTAGGATTCTATGAACATCACAAAATAAGGCAAACAGAAAGAACCATGATCTCTCAGGCTCCCATTGTCATTTGGGCTCCAAAACTATGGAAGTGTGCCTATGTGTTGCTCTCAGTATCTCACCCGATTCATAGGAAATCTGCTACAAAACAGGAGTTTTATTTGTTGAGTTCCAGGGTCAGAGAAGCAGATGGCAAAAACAGAAGAACTGCCTGCCTCAGTGAGCGTGCTTGCTCCATTAATGTTTAACATCTACACAAATGATCAGCCACTGCAGGAAGGGACAGAGCGTTTCATCTGTGCTGACGATCATGCCATCACTGCTCAAGCAGGGGGCTTTGAAATGGTTGAAAAGAAGCTCTCCAAAGCTCTAGGTGCCCTTACTGCCTATTATAGGGGACACCTGCTCAATCCTAATTCATCTAAAACACAGACGTGTGCTTTTCACCTTAAGAACAGACAAGCATCTCGAGCTCTGGGGATTCTCTGGGAAGGAATCCCACTGGAGCACTGCAGCACACCCAAATACCTGGGAGTTACCCTGGACCATGCTCTGACCTACAAGAAGAATTGTTTGAATATCAAGCAAAAAGTGGGTACTAGAAATAACATCATACAAAAGCTGACTGGCACAACCTGGGGATCACAACCAGACACAGTGAAGACATTTGCCCTTGCACTTTGCTACTTTGTTGCTGAATACTCATATCCAATGTGGAACACATCTCACCATATTAAAACAGTGGATGTGGCTCTTAATGAGACATGTCGCATTATCACAGGGTGTTTATGCCCAACACCACTAGAGAAATTATACTGTTTAGCTGGTATTGCACCACCTGACATCTGCTGGGAAGTAACTGCTAATAATGAAAGCACCAAGGTAGTGACATCTCTGGCCCATCCTCTGTTCAGATATTAGCCAGCATGCCAATGCCTTAAATCAATAATTTATTTATTTATAGTATTTATATTCCGCCCTTCTCACCCCGCAGGGGATTCAGAGTAAATTACAATGTACATATACATTGCAAACATTCAATGCCACAGACACACAACATATATAGACAGACACACAGAGGCTATTTAACATTCCAGCTTCATGAGGGTATTCTGGCCACCAGGGGACCTGCCGCTTCACCGTCCATTTGTGACACTGATGGAGTACTTCCTCATTCTTTGCATGCTTGCTGGAGATTTTTTGGCCTTGTAAATTAGTAAATTAGCCTCCCCACACATAGATGGTACCTAATTTTCCTACTTGACAGATGCAATTGTCTTTCGGGTTGCAAAGGTCGACAGCAAGCTAGACGAATGGTTGGAAGTTCACTCCGACCCAGGCTGCCTTTGACCTCATGACCTTTTGGTCAGTAGTGATCTTAATGCAGCTGACTCCCAGCCAGCTGTGCCACAGTCCCTAAGACAGTGGTTCTCAACCTGGGGTCCCCAGATGTTTGTGGCCTACAACTCCCAGAAATCCCGGCCAGTATACCAGCTGTTAGGATTTCTTAGAGTTGAAGGCCAAAAACATCTGAATACCTTAAATTGAGAAACAGCTTCCTAAGATCTACAGAGATACTTGCAGGAACACCTCAGCAAACAAGAGTCCAAAAGTGGCAGGCTAAAACCTAGCAACTCAATCAGTGTCTGAGACCGGAGAGACTCCTTCCTGGGCAAACAGAAAAGTGGACGCTCTGGCAGAACGAGATGCAGAGCCAACCTTAAGAAATGGGGCTACAAAGTGGAGTCCATGACATGCAAGTGTGGAGAAGAGGAAACTACAAACACCTTACTCCAATGTAGTCTGAGCCCTGCCACATACACAATGGAGGACCTTCTCACAGACACAGCAGAGGCACTCCTGGTTAAATGACATTTAGCATCATGCCAAGTTTTCAAAATCTTCGTCCTTTGGGCTCCAAAACTACGGAAGTGTGCGTATGTGTCACTCTTTGCTCTCCGCAGAATGCGCCAGCTTCAGACTCCGACACACCTGATCCCCCCAAAGCCTTCTGTCTGGAAACACCCAGGGGCGGATTAGGCTCTCCTTGGCTCCCATGGACACAAGCGAAAGCCTGCGGAAGGCGCACCGTTTTTCTTCATCCCTGCTGGCAAAGAGCCAGCCTTGGTTGGGTTACACAGGGCATGGCAAGAGCATGAAGGACACAAAGATTAGGACATTGAGAGGACCTGGGGATCCCTACTTAGAGCATGTGCAGAGTAGGGACCTTGACATTTGGGAGTTGTAGTTGCTGGGATTTATAGTTCACTACAATCAAAGAGCATTCTGAACTCCACCAATGATAGAATTGAACCAACTTGGCACACAGAACTCCCATGACCAACACAAAACACTAGAAGGGTTTGGTGGGCATTGACCTTGAGTTTGGGAGTTGTAGTTCACCTACATCCAGAGAGCACTGTGGACTCAACAATGATGGATCTGGACCAAACTTGGCACGAATATTCCATATGCCCAAATATGAACATAGATGGAGTTTAAGGGAAATAGACCTTGACATTTGGGAGTTGTAGTTGCTGTAGTTTTGCTACTGTTATGAATCGTCATGTAAATATCTGATATGCAGGATGTATTTTCATTCACTGATCCAAATTTGGCACAAATACCTAATACACTCACATTTGAATACTGGTGGGGTTGGAGGGATTGATTTTGTCATTTGGGAGTTGTAGTTGCTGGGATTTATAGTTCACCTACAATCAAAGAGCATTCTGAACTCCACCAATGATGGAATTGAACCAAACTTGGCACACAGGACTCCCATGACCAACAGAAAACACTGGAAGGGTTTGGTGGGCATTGACCTTGAGTTTGGGAGTTGTAGTTCACCTACATCCAGAGAGCACTGAGGACTCAAACAACGATGGATCTTGACCAAACTTGGCACGAATCTTCAATATGTCCAAATGTGAACATGGGTGGAGTTTGGGGAAAATAGACCTTGACATTTGGGAGTTGTAGTTACTGGGATTTTGCTACTATTAGGAATCGTAATGTAAATATCTGATATGCAGGATATATTTTCATTCACTGGACCAAATTTGGCACAAATACCAGATATGCCCAATTCATGGGGGGTTGGGGGGGCTGATTTTGTCATTTGGGAGTTGTATTTGCTGGGATTTATAGTTCACCTACAATCAAAGAGCATTCTGAACTCCACCAATGATGGAATTGAACCAAACTTGGCACACAGAACTCCCATGACCAACAGAAACCACTAGAAGGGTTTGGTGGTCATTGGTCTTGAGTTTTGGAGTTGTAGTTCACCTGCATCCAGAGAGCACTGCGGACTCAAACAATGATGGATCTGGACCAAACTTGGCACAAACACGCAATATGCCAAAAGTGCACACAGGTGGAGTTCAAGGAAAGTAGACCTTGATTTGGGAGTTGTAGTTGTTGAGATTTATAGTTCACCTGCAACCAAAGAGGATTCTGAACTCCACCAATGATGGAATTGAACCAAACTTGGCACACAAAACTCTCATGTTCAACAGAAAACACTGGAAGGGTTTGGTGGGCATTGACCTCGAGTCTGGGAGTTGTAGTCCACCTACATCAAGAGAGCACTGTGGACTCAAACAATGATGGATCTGGACCAAACTTGGTATGAATCCTCAATATGCCCAAATGTGAACACAGGTGGAGTTTGGGAAAAATAGACCTTGGCATTTGGGAGTTGTGGTCACTGGGATTTATAGTTCACCTGCAATCAAAGAAGATTCTGAACTCCACCAACGATGGAATTGGGCCAAACTTGGCACACAAAACCCCATTAAGAACAGAAAATACTGTGTTTTCTGCTGGTCTTTGGCGACCCTATGATGAACAGAGCATTTAGATAGATAGATAGATAGATAGATAGATAGATAGATAGATAGATAGAGAATGAGGGAGAGAGGTGCCCACCTGCAGCTGGCTGGAGCACCCGTACTGGATGAGCGGGGTGAAGGTGGTGAGCTGGAGCTCGGCGTCGGTCTGGAGGTCGTGCCCGACCAGGTTGGGCATCTTGGTGACGTTGTAGCCCAGGTTCTGGCACATGGGGATGCGGATGGGGTCGCAGCGGCGCTCCTCCTCGTCGCCGAAGCCCCGCGCGCCCTCCCCGCCCCCCAGGGCCAGGGCCCAGAGCAGCCGGAGGAGGAGCAGGCGCCCCCCACGGGCCATGGCCCACCCGCCAGCCCCACCGCCTGCCCCACCGCCCTCGCCTCCTTCGCCTCCTGATCCGGCTCCTTCCCCGCTCCGCTCGCTTCTCTTGCGCTCCCAGCGCGCGTCTGGCTGAGCCAGGCACTCGGGAGGGGGTTCCAAGCCAGGCGGGACCTGATTGGAGGGACAGCCAGGCGCCGTGGCCAATGGGCGCCTGGAAGGCGTGGCCAGCTCGCCCAAGGGGGTGGTGGCCCACTCTCTCTCCCCCCCACACCCAAACAGCAGTAGCTGCTGGAAGTGCTGCGTCTATGTACTGTAGCGTTGCTGCAGTTTGACACTTCTCCTGGTCAATCCATGGTTCTAAAGTACTTACAAAGCTAAAGTTCTGGTGGTGAAAATTTCAGAACTCTAATTTCAGAACTCTATGATAGAACCAATTAGGAACTGGGTTGTTGTAGGTTCCGGGCTATATTCTAGAGCAGTACCTCCTTTGTAAGCCGCCCTGAGTCCCCCCCCCCCCCCCCGGGGTGAGAAGGGCGGGGTATAAGTAGATGAAATAAATAAATAATAAATAAATAAATAATTCTCAACCTGTGGGTCCCCAGATGTTTTGGCCTTCAACTCCCAGAAATCCTAACAGCTGGTAAACTGGCTGGGATTTCTTGGAATTGTAGGCCAAAAACATCTGGGGACCCCAGATTGAGAACCACTAAACTAGATGGTCAACAAAGCAAGCAGCAGTCAAGAGGGGAAAGCTGGCTGTTGTTGGAGCCACAGAGCCTGCTTTAAGTTATAAGATAGAACCACTGTTCTAGAGGCATTTCTCCTGACGTTTTGCCTGCATCTATGGCAAGCATCCTCAGAGGTAGTGAGTAGGCTTGGGCAATCCATGGTTCTAAATGGTTCTAAAGTACTTAAAAAACTAAAGTTCTGGTGGTGAAAATTTCAGAACTCTAACAAAACTCTCAAAATTTCATTATAAATGGCAGTTCCTAATTGGTTCTGTCATAAAAATCACCAATAATGAAATAATAATTAAATTTTGAAAGTTTTGTTAGAGTTCTGAAATTTTCACCACCAGAACTTTAGTTTTGTAAGTACTTTAGAACCATTTAGAACCATGGATTGCTCAATGGTTGGAAGTAGGAAAATGGGTGTGGAATGACCAGGGTGGGACAAAGGACTTTTTGTCTGCTGGAGCCAGGCATGTAGCCGGGGGGGGGGGGTGCTTGAGGGGCTTCAGCCCCCGCCCTCCAAATTCTCACTTTGGTTCGCGAAAAGGCCTTACTGGTGCATTATTTAAACTGTTATGTTTATTCATATCATGATCTGATCACCATACTCAATATATCCCATATGCATGGGGGTATTGGGGTAATGATACAAAAGGTTTGCTAGGGTAGACCCTCTTTCGCTCAGACTCAGCCCCCCCCCCCCATCCCCCCCTGAAAAAAAATCAGCCCCCCCCAAAACGAAATCCTGGCTACGGGCCTGGCTGGAGCTAGGTGTGAATGTTTCAACTGACCACCTTGATTAGCATTTAATGTCTTGGAAGTGCCTGGGGAAACAAAATCTGGCTACCAGTATTTAAAAACTCAAAAATTACAACAGCAAAACAAAATGTTCCATCTGAACATTAGGAAGAACTTCCTGACTGTGAGAGCCATTCAGCAGTGGAACTCTCTGCCCAAGAGTGTGGTTGAGGCTCCTTGTTTGGAAGCTTTTAAACAGAGGCTAAATGGCCATCTGTCAGGGGTGATTTGAATGCAATATTCCTGCTTCTTGGACTGGATGGCCCATGAGGTCTCTTCCAACTCTTTGATTCTATGATTCTATGAACAGAGAGTAAACAATCAGGCACATCAAATCACCTCTCAACAAAAGATTCCCCCAGGCACTTCCAAGCCATTAAATGCTAATCAAGGTGGTCAGCTGAAACATTCACACCTAGCTCCAGCAGAAAAAAGTCCTTTGTCCCACCCTGGTCATTCCACAGATATATAAACCCATTTTCCTACTTCCAACAGACCTCACCACCTCTGAAGATGCTTGCCATAGATGCAGGCAAAACGTCAGGAGAAAATGCCTCTAGAACATGGCCATAAAGCCCGGAAAAACCTACAACAACCCAGTGATTCCGGCCATGAAAGCCTTCGACAATAATAATAATAATAATACACTTTATTTATAACCCACTATTTATTTGTCGTGTCAGGGCAACCAGTCAATTGCATTACATTTCTAACAGAACAAAACAAACAAACAGACAAAATACAAAATTTGCAAACTTGGTAGTTGATTAAATGTCCTTTGACCAGTATCTGGCCCCTTGGAGTGCCTCTGGTGTTGCCGCAAGAAGGTGCTCCATTATGCATGTGGCAGGGCTCATGTTGCATTGCAGCAGGTGGTCAGTGGTTTGCTCTTCTCCACACTCGCATGTCGTGGATTCCACTTTGTGGCCCCATTTCTTGAGGTTGGCTCTGCATCTCGTGGTGCTAGAGCGCAGTCTGTTCAGCACCTTCCAAGTTGCCCAGTTTTCCGTGTGCCCAGGGGGGAGACTCTAATTTGGTATCAGCCATTGGTTGAAGTTCTGGGTTTGAGCCTGCCACTTTTGGACTCTTGCTTGCTGAGGTGTTCCAGCGAGTGTCTCCCCAAAGGAGACTTGGTGCGGCTAACATGAGACCAAGCCCAACATAATAAACACACAGTAACAAAATACATCATCATAACAAAATATAAAATAACAAAATCAACAATATAAAACAGCATATTGAAACCAGACACTGAGGTTTCCAAATGTGTGAGGTAAAATGTTTAAAAAGTTAAAACTCTGGGTGAGATAGCGATAAAAGTGCATTTGTAGGAAAGAAGCCCAACAGGGAGGAACCATGGGATTTAGACATTTTAGGGGGGAGAGATGTTTTATTCTGAGGGCAGCTGTAGACCAAGGCAACCAGATGGGTTGAATGGTCATTCTCCAAAAGCACAACGGAAGAGCCAGGTTTTTAGGTCTTTTTTAAAACCAGCTAGGGTGTGGGCTTGCCTGATCTCCTTAGGCAGCGAATTCCAAAAGCGGGGGGCCACAGCGGAAAAGGCCCTCTCCCTTGTTCCCATAAGGTGAGTCTGTGATAGAGGAAAGGGCAAGAGAAGGTCCTCATCAGCGGATCGAAGAGATCGTGCAGGTTTGTGGTGATCCAAGTGCATCGTCAATCATTTCGAATTTAATTGGAATGATGCAATTTCCCCCTGACATTAAATCCAGTCGTGTCCCACTTTGGAGGTTGGTGCTCATCTCCATTTCTTTGACGTTGTGTCATTGTAAGCCGCCTTGAGTCCCCCTATCGGGGTAGAGAAGGGCGGGGTACAAGGATGGCAAATAGTAATTATAATAATCTATTCTAAAAGGTATAAAGTAGAGGACTCAAACCACATCCCTGGAGACTGGACCCCAAAGGCATAGCTTCTAAGAGGCCATCTAGTCCAATGAAAAGGCTACAATAGACTGGCTGCCAGTTTGTTACCAGACACAATTCAAAGTGCTGGTTGTAGCCTATAAAGCCCTGAACGATTCCAGCCCAGCCTACCTGTCCGAACGTATCTCTCCTTATGAACCATCTAGTACTTTAAAATCTTCTGAGAAGGCATTCTTCTTGGTCCTGCCTCCTTTACAGAGGCATTTGGCAGGAATGAGAGACAGGGCCTTCTCAGAGGTGGCCCCTTACCATGGATATAAGATTGTTCCCCTCCCTCCTGAAATTCTGTAAGAAGGTTAAAACATGGCTCTTCAAGGAAGCTTTCGCTAATGCAACATAGTTAGATAAAGATTAAATTTGGAATGATTGACGATGCACTTGGATCACGATTTTAGTAAGGAGACATTGAAGATTATGTTTTTATGGCTTTGTTTGGTCTTTTATACTATATGTTAATGTTTTAATTGTATTTATAATCAATTTTTAACTTGCACTTTATAGTTGTGGAGGCATCAAATTGTTGCCGATTGTGAACTGCCCTGAGGTGCCTTCAGGCTGGAACCGTGGTATATAAATGTGGTAAAATGCTTCTGGAGAAGGAGACTCCAACACACTTCAAGGATGCATATTCCATTGCTAAACAGCTTGTTAACAGGAAATTATTCCTAATGTTTAGGTGGAATCTCTTTTTCTGAAATTTGGATCCATTTCTCTGTGTGGATTTTGTCAGCCACAATCAATTGTAGTGAGCCATCTCTGTCCTAATAGAAAATATTTTCTGCCGACTTAAACTCAAATAAACAATTGAGATTCATTTACACAAGGAGCGAGTTGACTGTGGAGATGAACACTGCTAGTGAGCTGACTTGGTGATATGACGGACACATGCTTCTGCATTTCTGGACTTTGTTTTACTGGGCCCATTACAGAATTTCCCACTGGCTGATAAGTAGCCAGGAACGTTGGTCCTGAAAGGGAAACAGTCAATTACACCTGTGGAAGGCTATTTGATTAAGAAACGTCTACAAATATTAGGCCAGAGAGAGGCCTCCAGGCAGAGCTTTGGTTTATCTGGTTTTGCTACCTTTTGTTAATGCTTAACTCCATCACTGTTTTTTGCTAAACAAACAAAGCGCTGGGGTTTAGTTCTGCCAAAGGACAGGTCATCTGCTCAAGAAACCTTAAGAAAGCAAGAAGGCCCAAACCTTCTAGCTTTAACCTAGAATCCTGGTTCCTGCAGTGGTCCTCCAGTATTCCTGGGATATTTAACATGCAAAGCCCAAATGCAACAACACCCTCCTATTCATACTCCCCAATAAGCAATGGTTACTGCAGGGCTTCCATGTTGTTACAGTCAACTCACTCCAGGTTGTAATCTGAACTTTAAGGGAGACATCCATGATGCTGAACTCTATCACCTGAATCAGTGTCCTGGATAATTCTTTTAAAGTTCAGATTGAAACAGACTGCTTTCCATACTGATGTGGAAGCCAACAGCAAGCACTGGCATTAATGGAGATAATATGTAACCATTCTGACACTAGTCATTGATGGCATGCTTCTCTGTGAATCATTCCCTTTC